TCAGTGAGTAATGCAGGGATAATGAGGGTTGATCTGAGTTCACACTCTGATTCATGCTGGAGCACCAGCATTTGTACCCGGCCCATCACTTTTTACCATCAAAATAAAGTTTGACGTAGTGTTTCGAAGGCCAATCATGTCTTAAAATGATTTTGAACGTGATTTTTCTTTCAGGAATCCCGCAGTATGGTGCTGACAATCTTGCTCTGAAGATTGCTAAACTGAATTATGAAAAGAGGAAAAACTCAGATGGGCTAAGGCAAAAAAAAAAAAAAAAAATTACAGCTTGTCTGAAGAGTTATCTAATTTAAAGCATCACACAATGATATAAATGTTAAAGTTTTCAAACACACATGTGCAATTAGAAAATAGAACATATTTGGATCATTTGATTGGCACCAAGTCTTCCATATTTTATATTTTATTTAAACCTAAATCCCAGCACTCAGGGAGGCCGAGGCAGGTAAAACTCAAATGCAAATCCTGCCTAGGCAAATTAGAGAGATGCTGCCTCAAAATTGGGGTGGGGGGGAATATATATACACACACACACACACACACACACACATACATACACACATATATGTATACACACGTTAAAGGACTGGAATTGTAATTCAGTGGTAGAATGCCCTAGGTTCATTCCCCTAGTGCTCCAAAAAAGAAAAAGCTCTTAATTCTTTTAAAAGTACAGTATATGTAAAAAAAAAAAAAAAAAAAAAGGGAGTGTATTTATTATGTCATCTATTTGAAAAGCATAGAGTTTCAATGCTGAGATTTGCAAAACCTTGTACATTTTTTGCAAGATCTAGTTTTGAGATGCTGAGCAGATAGTGTGTGCATTTTACCTTAGCTTGAAGATCTTGCTAACTGCTTTTGGTTCCCCTACAAACACATCAGCAAACCATCTTTCACCAGACAGCCAAAGGTAACCTCCAGATGGGAGGCCATGAGAATCAATAGAGTCGGTATTTTAGGGACTGTTGATGGATGGCTGTATTTGGAAGTTAACTCAAGTGCCAGAGGCCCCCAAGCTGACGAAGATGAACTCCGCATTCACTGAGATCCACTGGGGCATCATGCACACAGAGAGCCCCAGGATGGCCACAGTTGCTCTCTGCAGTTTGTGGGGAGACTTCCTGCGTGTCGCTGGGTAGCCTCACAGCGGATGTCGACGAGGCCTCTGCACCGCTGTTCTTGCTGCAGCAAAGTGTTACCCGGTTGATAACCTCCCAGTGCTGGGAGCTTGTAACTGTGAAGGTCCGTGCAGCAGCGAATGAATTAATTCCCCACCTCAGGACGCATACTGCAGCTAATGGTTGCCTCTCTCTCTCCTAAGGCAGCCCACAGAAGGCGGGAGCGGAGCTAAGCTGTGCTTCTGTCAGCAAGCTGAAAGCCCTGGGTCTCTGACACAGTGCTCAATTGCTAGCAGGTTTCTCTCATTGCACCTCATTTGCATCTGGGACATCAATTAGCATGTTTGTTGAGGCTAATTGAATGAAACTCAATCATAGCTCTTAATTGCTTGACTATGTGAAAAGAAATCACATTAATGCAGCTAATTAAGTGTACGGCAATAGATGCAACATAATTAGGAGCTAAATGTAAAAAACAAGGGGCGGTGAAGGTGCAGGAGCCAGGGTGCAGGGGGACGGTGAGGCGCGGTCGCCGGGCTGTTGGCGCATTCGGGAACGGGTCCCTCTGCTCTGGGGCCTGCTTGGCAAAAAGATAATCCGCATGATGAGCATGGACAACTTGAGAAGAAAAATGCAAATAGGCTTGCAATTACTACTTTTTCAAGCTGTCGAGGGGCAGGAGATGGCACCTCTGGGGGGCCCAGCTCTTGAGTGGGCCCTGGGGACTTGTTAAGTGCTGTTTAAAAGTACTTGGCTTTGAATTACCCTATGCCTTGTTAAAGGCTTTTTTTCCCCTCTTTTATCTTCGATCAGCATTTTCTACAACTAACATGGAGATGGGTAGTATTGGCAGCATTTGCATATCAAAATCAAGCGTGCTGTCTGTATTTTACCCAGGGAGGTCCTTTCCTCAGGCCCATCACACATCTGACTTCTAAGGAGGGAACATCCGCGTCTTGGCTACAGCTTTCTTTCCTCCAGTACTGAGCTGTGGGAGGGATGAAGAGGATGGGTTCTTTCCAAAATGGACCCACTGGGTGCAGGTTCTTTTGGGAGGAACTAGAAGCCATGGACCCGTGTGTCTTTGTACTGTACCTGTTTATGAAACACCAGGCTGGAGGGCTTTTATGCCTTGGGAATCACGTTCTGTAAGCTTTTCGCATTCTTATAGTGGCTTGAAATATAGGAGTGCTGGGCGGATATTCTAGCTTTTGAGAGACAGTTCTTGAAGTTTCAGCGCCTAACCCAGGCAAGAAAACAGATTCCCCCAACCCATGCTGAGCTCAAGATAAATGTCTTTCCTTGGTGCATTCAGATCTGGAGAGCAGACAGACAGTACATTTCTATAATAATTTTAAATAAAATATCCTGGTTATTGTATGTTAAAACATGCCTATTAAAAAGAGCCCACGCTGGGGCTTAGTCACTCTCTGATTAGCCTCATTTTAGAGCTCATAAGCAATAAATGCTCAATTACACTCCTGTTATTGTATTTTAATTTGTTAAGAATTGGCATTAAAGGAGAAAGTTATCATAAGTTGATACTTTTAAAGGAGTCACTATGTAAAGAGAGATTCATTCTTTACAACCGTTAACTTTGGTTCTGGGATTTGGGCTTGCATCTTTGAGGCGGATATTAATGGAAGTAAATTAAAGATACTTAAGACCTTTCTTTTTAAGTGACCTGCACTAACCAACCGAAGTTCACATTCTTCTCCACTGCGGGGCTCCCTTGCTGCCCCCTGGACTGAGCTCAGTCACCAGAGTCCCTGCATTTCTGCAGCTTCCTTACCCTGCAGTCTGGAGTAGTGATTGCATCTTTCCCATCTTTGGTCCACATCGTCTCAAAACCAGCCTCTTTCCTAGGTGATTAGATTTCGAGGAGATAGACGTCTGTCTTATCCTGGATGCCACATCTTTGTCAGGAGCTTTTCCATCACATTTGCTGTCCCCAGCCGGTGGATGACCTTCCACTTCCTCAGACCTCAGAGTCCCTTCCACCAGCTCATCCTGCGGATGTAGGGAGGCTTCAGGCCGTGCTGCAGGACTGCGCCTTGCTGGCCTTAAATGGGCACAGGCCAGGTGCTTCTCCTGGATGGCTCCTCCGCTCTTCTCAGCCATTGTTTCTCCACCTCCTTGTTCTGACCGTGGCTCTTTGAGCTCTTGTTCAACACCAGGTTTGAGGTCTGCCCTCAGGAAGTCCCCAGAGCTCTGTATTCCTGTCTCCCACATCCCGGTGCCCACACTTTGCCAAGCCTGTCTCAACCTTCCTCTGCTGCTGGATCCCACTCCCCTCCCCAGCAGCCTGCCTTGTCCCGCCCCACCAGGTACACCCATCAAGGGCAGCTCTGCCCTGGACATCTCATGGGCGTTTTCCCTGAGTTGGAATCTTAGCCTTTGATGTCCTTTTGTGCCATTCCTCCTGTCAGGAGATGTCCTGAATGTTGACAAAGAAAAGATTCCTTCCAACTCCCTTCACCTGTGGGAACCTGAAAATCGTCCTATACTTCAGTTAAATGACAGCCAGCTTGTTTGCTGGAAGCCAGTGGAGCCTTCCCTTGGCCCCCCGGCTCTTTCCTCATAGCTCACTCTGCATGATGTCCAACTTGGCTCGTTCATCCTGCAGAGTGGGACCTGACCCCTTTGCCCTTGGTTCAGGGTTAGTTGTCTCTGCATCACCTGCCCACACTCACTCTCCCAGTCTGCCTGGGTTTCTCACACCAAGAACTACACTAACCTTAATCACATAGAGAAAAGACAAACTCCTGGCATTTAGACTCTAAAAGAAATCTACCAAGAACCTGCCAAGGAAAGACAGGCTTATTCCTACCTTCCTGCTTAGTCCTTAACCCTTAAAATATTCTTTATCCAGAGTGATTTAGAACACATGCTTTTGCCCCATGTCGTATCATTTGTGGCCATTGTGCATAAAATACTGTGTCTATAGACAAAAAGGTTCAATGAAGAAAATAATAAAAGATGAGTGAAAAGTCAGTAGATCCTGATTTACCAGTAGTCCCTTCACGCTGGCTCTCAGTTGCTATATTAGTGAGCTTTCTGTCACTATGACAAAATAGACCTAAGATAAGCAGCTTAATAGTAAGAAAGGTTTATTATTGTGCTTCATGGTTTCAGAGGTGTCAGACCATGGTCACATGGACCTGTCGCTTTCACTTCCACCTCTCCCCATCATCAGCCAATTTGCTTCCTGCTGAGTCAGGTGACCTGCATTTCTGCCTCTCTGGGCTTCCCCCTGATAATCTCCTGCCCTCAAGGCACAGGCAAGGAATCTTTTCATGAATGCAGTGTGTGAACTGCTTGGAGAAACACAGCACTCAAGAACTAAAGGCCGCACGTTCTTTTCAACATCCAGCTTTCACTCCTCCTCCTGTGGGTGCCTGGCGTTGCACCACACGCTCCTCACGGGCTCCTTGGTTAGACTCTTGATCTTTGCATGTGGTGGTAACTGAATTCCTGCCGCAACAGCGTCAGCCTTACCCAGAGACTTTGGCATTTCCAGCTGAGACAGGACGGTTATGATGCCATAGTTTCACACTTTGTGGAGGATTCCTAGGACTCACTGGGTATGCCAACTAAAAAGTAAAAGAGTTCAAAGACAAGGTTTTGTGTGTATGCACATTGTCTAATCCTCACTAGGGAAATCTGTGCCACAACCTCCTAGGTTTCTGGTCCTGGGTTGGCTTGAGACATTGTCACAAATCTCTCCTCAACCATAAAGGCAATACCACTGTTTCCAAGTGGAAGAGTCGCAGGATTGCAGCCTGTGACGTCACATAGAACCTTGTATCCTGAGTGTAGCGATCCTTGTGTTAATCTCTCTTGGGTGTTTAACATTTTGAACAGGATTACATGCAGAATGTGCACGGTAAAGAGATTGACCTCCTGAGAACCACTGTGAAAGTCCCAGGGAAGAGGCCACCCCGAGCCACGTCAGCCTGTGCGCCCATCTCCAGCCCCAAAACCAATGGCCTGGCCAAGGACATGAGCAGTTTACACATCTCACCGAACTCAGGTAAGCCGGCAGCAAACTCCCTGGAGGAGTAGAGCTCGGCGGTGGCCGTAGATGGTGCGGCGTGGGGCAGGCTTGACGTGCTGAGGCTCGGTGGAGAGTGGCTGTCACGCCATGGACATCTGGAACCCTTGTCCCTTCTGATACTGCCACTTCCTCTCTGGTGTTGGTTTTTGTGAATGCTGGCAAGCAAAGGGTCACAGCTACACAGACGAGGCACCCTGCTTTCTCAGGGTGGGGCAGGAGAAAGCAGAGATTCCCAGGTAGGTTGGATATCTGAACTTTCAAAGAAATAAGAATCAGTTTTTAAGGGTTTGAGGATTAACCTATGTCTGGTAACTGTGCCCAAGAGTGGGGAAACTGTGTAGAACGAGATTTAAAGACAGCAGCATGACCTCTGTGCAATTTCAGTACTCTTCCGTTTTGTATTTTAACTGTTGTTTGTCATCTCCAATGCAACTTTCAGTTTTCATACCCTCTTGAAAAGGAGAATGGTTTTTCCATGCGGGGTTAGAGAAAGTGTTTTTTCTGAGTGTTGTGTGTTAGACGTCGCCGGCTTCTGTGTAGTTCCTGGTCATTCAGTATCACCGCTGACTCTTACTTAACAATCTGGGCAAGTGATTATATGTGGTGTGGACCTTCTAGTGATTCCTTATCTGTGGGGAGGGCCCAGACCCCGGAGTTTCCACCAACATCTTGGACTCCTTCCTTTGGAATTCCTCCCAGAAGCCTCATTGTTTCTCCAGCCAAAAAGCCCTTTCCTTCTCTCCCACCTTCCTTTCAGGAATTGTTCGTGCTGTGGTCACGGAATCCTTGACCTCCAGGATCTCTGGATGTAGCAGTTACCATGCAGCCAGCTAACGTTCCACTTCCCTCCTAACCCATTACATAGTCCAGTTACTCATTAGAATCAACGAGTATTTATTGCGTTTCCTTTTTATTCATAAATGTGTATAGCCATATGTAATGGCAGACACCTGTAATCCTAGCACTCTGAGAGACTGTGGCAGGAGGATCCCGAGTTCAAGCCCAGCCTGGGCAACATAGCAAGAATCCGTCTCAAAATGGAAAAATGCAATAAAATAAGAAAAGGTCTGGGGACATAGCTCAGTGTGAAGGCTCTGATGAGTTCAGTCCCCAGGACCATCTTAAAATAATTCCTGGTACACAAATAATAATTGTATCACTGTTTCATTTTTTTTTAACTTCTAAAATTATCCATACTCCTCATGTGCAGCGTGGCGTTTTGAAGTGTGTGTGTGTGTGTGTGTGTGTGTGTGTTATAGAATGGTAAACAGAGCCATTTAGTGAGGCTCTAATGTATCCCGGCCCCTGCCCGAGAGAGCCTCAGCCTCCTGTGGGGAGAAAGACCACGAGGCAGATGTAGCCAGGGCGGCAGGAGGGAAGTGGGTGAGGCTTCATTCTTGCTGAGGTTGAAGAAGAGTGGGAGTTTGCTGGTCATGGAGGGAAAAGGAACAGCCCTGAGGAACTGAAGAAGCTGGGAAGTGGGGGTGATATTAGTAGTCCATTGTGGGAGAGGAAAGATTTCGTGGCTGGGCTAAGACTGGGGAGGTGGCCTCTTCCCTTGGCCAACTGAGGCCATCAGCTGGTGCATCCCAAAGAAAGGGTGGAGCCTCAGGCAGTAGCTCGCTAGTGATTGGTCAAGTGCAAGGCAGGAGGTGAGACACTTCATAAGAGGCAGCCACTTCCATAAATGCCATGAAACCAGAAAAACTGAATTTCCTGTGTTTAAACTTACTAGGCATAAATCCATCTGTCTCACAAAGAATTCCACCCAACACAGCAAATTTAATTTGAAATAAACCAATGCTATGTTTAAGTGGCAGACTTCTAGTTAGAAACAGATACCAGTTATTTCTGAGTTTCTGAGCTCCTTTCTCCAAAATTTAAATATCCTACCTTATCTTGTTCTTTCCTCTCGACTCTTGAATTCTGCTATCTTGGGGAGTTTGGTTTGGTTTGGTGGGGTTCTAGGTAAACTGGAGATGTTTGTTTCTCTTTATGCTTGCCTTGTAAAAATTCATTTTCTTTTCTAATATTACTGAACCAGATTGACTTCTGTCTTCCCTTGCGGTAGCTGTGCATTCCCATGGACCTGAACATACACGCACCTCCCTCTCTGTGCCTAACAGCTATTGCTGCTGTAGAGTAAGTGATCGCTGAGTGACTCAGGCAAAGTTAGAACCATTCGATCCACGGTCCCAAATTTGCTTTAGAGAGATGTTTAGAAAATGCCCATCCGGCCCTACAGTGAGTGCCAGTTTCAGCCTCCACGCTCACAGGGGCTGCTTTTGGGTATGGTGTTTAGAAGCTGTGCTAATTTGATAAATACCACTTGCTTTGTCTGTTTGTATTTCTCTAACCAGCAGTGAGGACAAGCATCTCATGTGCTGTAATGATTCAGATGCTGTAATCATGTACACGTATTCTTTGCCCATTTTGTCCCTGAGCTACCTGTCTCTTACTGAAATGTGAGAATTCTTTGTATATTTAGTATATTATAATGTTTTTTCAGATATTTCCCTGATTTATTATTTGCTTTCTTTTTAACCAATATGAATGGATTTTGTTTTTTGGTACTGGTGGGGATTGAACTCGTGACTGCACAACTGCATGCTTGCAAGGCAGGTGTTTATGCCACTGAGCTAAATCCCTGGCTTTTTAACCAATATGATCTTACTGAATAAGAGATATTTTTTCTCCTTTTTTCATATGTAATCAAATCATAAGTCTTGGGCTGGGGATTTAACTCAGTGACGGAAGCGCCTGCTTGACAAGTGATAGGTCGTGAGTTCGATCCTTGGTACCCAAAATAAAAAATCATAAATCTTTTACTTTTATATCTGTGGTTTCTACCGTGTGTCCTTTGGAAAGCCTTTAATTCCAAAACTAGATTACAATTAACACATACATATGTCTAGGTTTTACAGTTTTATTATTAGTGCCGCCTCTCTTTTCAATGTAATTAACCTCTAATCCACCTTTAATTTGCATGGGTCCATGCAATGTGATAGCAAATGTGAAAAAACTGCCAGCCGTCCACTGTCCCCCTGTTAATTCTGCGTGTCTCTTTTATTAGACACCCAAACTGTTTAATCCAGTTGGTTGTATTCTGGGCTTGTGAGTCTGTTGCATTGCTCTGTGTCCTCCCAGTCTGACCTGTTGTTGATTTATGACAACCTGCCACCTGTGTACCTTCCATAGATTCACCCTATGTCTTAGATTCATGATTCAGTTTATATCTGGTTGCATGGCATTTCAATTTTTGTTTCATCGCCCAAATTTTCTTGTCTATTGCCGTTTTCAAATGAACTTCAGAATAACCTAACCAAATAATCTCATTTTGACTTTAATTGGCAATTGCTTCTAAGCTTTCTGTTAATTGGAAGGGAACTGACATCTTTACTAGGCCAGGCTTCTTATCTGGGAGCACATTCTTCCCCAATGTATAGATTTATTTTACAATCCTCAGTAAAGTTTAGTGTTTTCCTTCATTTAGATCATGTATGGGTCTTTTTAATCTCTTCCTCTAGTTTACAGTTTGGGGTGTGTTACGAGGCTAATGCTGGGGGTATATCACAGCCTCTGAGTTACACTATGTAAGAAAGCTAGTTTTACGTGTTGTGTATCCTGCCATCTCATGCACTTTTGTTGGTTGGAATAGTTATGTGGATGCTTCTTCCATGTTTTCAAGAACACAGTTATTCCAAACAAATACGATAATGCCTAACTGGTTATCAATATTGAGCTTTCATTTCTACCAACTGGTTTAATGATTAGGATATCTTATTGCTTTGCTTCCTCTGTCGTTCATTTCCCTTTATGACTGAGGCTCCTGCATGCCCACCCCTGATTAATTCAGGGCAGAGGAGCCCAAGACACTCAGTGGTGAGCCTGCCTCCTCAGGGAGAGCGAGCCTGAAGATAAGCACACCAGCGCCATCACTGTGGCTGGTGATACGTGTTACTGAAGGAGCATTGGATGGAAAATTACTGGTAGGAGGGAGGGGGTGTTGTGTTATTTCTGGTATTGGGAAGTGATTTGAGTCTTGAAATAATGACTGTGTGTCACACATTGAAATTCCAGGAATGTGATCTTGATGTTGGTTTCTACCATGAGCTTCAGAAAGAGGAGGAGAAACATATTTTCAAAATGACAAACTTCTCTGCTGATAACTGAGCCCAGGGCTGCCTTTGGGTGGAGCAGAGCGGAGAGGCTGCAGTGTGGGTGGGGAGCCCCAGGTACCATGCAGCAGGTATGAAGGAGCAGGTTGCAGCACCAAGGCCAAGGGCCTCACTGCCCCAAGCCCACAGTTCGGAGTGTCTGCACTCAAGTTGAGCCCAGTCAGAGAAAGTAACAAAACTGGCAGAGCAGAGCCCCTGCTATGGGTGCTGATGCTTGGAAGGAAAAGAGATCAGGAAGCTCAGCCTCCGAGCTGTGCAGGGGAAGGGAGGACAGCTCTGACTGTGGGCCTCATGCCTACTGCGTAGCCTGCCCAGAGCTACAGCAGCCTCTGCTCAGGATGGGGCTCCCGAGAGAAAACCCTCCAAGTGCCCTGCCAACCCACCAGCCCCTACCCATGCATACCAGTGGGCAGCAGGAGGTTTGTGAAAGGTCAACAGAGCACCTGAGCCTGGCAGAAAAACAATACAATTTCAGGGAGGCAACTTTAAAGGAAATTATTATCACCAGGAAGAATTAAGAGATTAATCACTGTGTACATAAAATGAAACAAAGACTCTTGAATAAACCATAGGAGAAATAATTCTTGGAAATTAAGGAACAAATATTGCAAGAATTTTAAAATTTGGTACTATTAAATGATGTAAAGGACAAAGCTAAAGAAAGGTAATGTTGATAATTAAAGAGGTAACAGAAGAAAATATGCTTAGGGTGGGTGTGAAGAGTTAGATATCCAGGTGAAGGGAGAAGGTCTGTAAAAAATAATTTTTAATATTAAAGAATATTCAAAATTGGAGAGC